GATATAGATTGTGGAATTCTTTGAGACCTTCAAGATGAGAGGTGCCACGTAAACACAAAGCAGTGCGGCTACTCACCCGGTCCTTTCGCAGATGGATCCAATACTACAGACTTAATTGTTTTGCTCATCCTCATCCCTTCTGGCTAGAAAGGAATGACAAGAGCATAGTAAGCACAGTAGCATTCAGAGACAATGAAGAGCAGTAGGAAAAGGTGAGCGACTTGCTGATCTTGAGATCAGCGTGAATCAGGAGTGACTCCACCGGAAGTCAGCGGTCAAGTGAAACTGAGATCAGGCCCCATCCCATGAGTCTGGAATCTGACCTCAGGTTAGATGGACCTTTAGTCTGACCCAGCATGGCCGTTCTTATGTTCTTATGAATCTGCCCTACAGAGTCTGGCAGAGCGAGGAAGTGAGAAGCTCAATTCATTCCATCATTGCTCTGTGACCTCCCTGAAGGACCTTTCTACTCCCTGATCTTCAGTGGCGGATCTTCCTCTCACCCAGCATTGCAGTGATTTCCTGGGGCAGGTCAGTGGGACGCCCTTCACAACCCACCAATGCTTCTCCTTTGCTCAGCTCTCTCTGCCAAGTGATATGAGGTTCTCCCTGAGTGCACTGATTCCAGCACCCACTGGTCCAAGGAGCAAGACCCTGGGCCTGAGGAACTGACCCTAGGTCTTTTATATGATGACTCAGAGGACTGAGTGTAAGATAACCAGGTCAGCTCCAGCCCTGCTGTAGTTGCCACAGGGGAGGGGAGGAAGTGGGATGAGGATGGAGGGTGTTAATTTAACAGCTAAAGGTATAGCACCAATTCCAGAAGCCAGCCAATCTAGCCTCCAGCCTCTTGCCCTCCAGCAGACATCCCGCTCCTGTCACCTGATACCTACCACAACCTTCAGTTTCTTTTTCACGCCATCAGACACAAAACTGCCCCACACCGCTGCCTTGACCTCAATGTCGTGAGATCCTAGTTGCAGCGGGACAATCACTAATGGCACGGCCAAGGAGGACTTGGCTTCGATGTCAAGGATCTGCCGGTATTTAGCCTTGGAAGTGGATGCGCTACAGAAAACTGGGTTATGCAGCAGCTCCAGACGGACCTGAGAAGAGAACAGAGATTCATGAGCAGGCAGACTACTCTGCACACCATGACACTGTAGGGCATTGATCCAAAACATACCCTCTGACTGGAGTTTGCCTTTAATCTTAATAAATAACAGACAGGACTGTACTTACAACACACAAGACCATATCCTGATCTTCTTCCTGAAAGGCCCTTCAGGACCCCCTCTAGTTCTGTCCTGCCTCAGAGAGGCCCTCAGCCTGTGGTGTTCCTGAGTGGAAGTAATGAGACCCACCTGGTCTGGCTACTGGTGTGAGTCAGCAGAAAGCTCTGAACCTGGTACCCACTCACAGATTTGAGGCCCAACCAGAGAAGAATGGCAGACAGAAAA